GGCCGTTTGTGCATTGCGAGTTCCATTTGATGGATGAGTTGGCAGTCGGTCAAGCCGGGGGGAAGGAAGATGGTGCTGGGAGATATGGAGAGAGAATAACGAAGATTCGTCACTCTCTGGTTCCTCCGTGTCTCTGAATTTCCCCAATAATTGCTGCGTATTGGCAGGGAAGCGAAAGGGAAGACATGATCGGAAGTGGATTCCGTGGCACGATCTCGATGATGGATGTGGCAGATTTTGGGGATTTTTTTAAAGAATAATCATACTCGGCCCAAGAACCAAGCAAGGCAAAAGAGAATAACAGAAAATGCCAAAAACGGGCAAGAGGTTTGAGCTAGATGCGCTGTCAATGATGTGCGAGATGGGATATCTCCCGGAGGAAAGATTTGCATCTTATGCGAAGATCAACTGACAGGGAGTGATTACTGGGCTGAACCCTGGGGCGAGGTGGGAAAGGTACCTGACGGCTCCTCCCCGTTTGTGAACGCAATGCGCAGAATTGGGAGGGAGGATTCACGGAATTCACATGGGAAAGAACATCTGCCAGGTACCGCACGCACCTGACGACTGAGAGGAGGAGGAGGAGGAGGAGGAGGAGGGAGGATGCTCGGGTGAGCTCAAGAGGAAAAAGGGAAGCTGTCCCCTAGAACCCTGTCCGTCTGCCTGCCTAGTGTCCCTAGGCAGTGCAGTGCCTTGTGTACGGATAGTACTCCGTACCTCCGCTAGATGCATAGGTAGCACAACCCTGCAAGACTGGGCGAAAAGTCGCATTTGTGAGTACTTGCAGCAGGTACGTAGCGCCCAAACTGGGAAGTGGCTTCGAGACCGTGGTGGAGCTCATGGGAGGAACAGTCAAGAACTTGGGAGTTGGTCCCAATTCTTGTTGAAACACTGTCAGCCGAGGGGGAGCCAATGGGACGGTTTGGAGTGGAAACGGTTTGATTGGGCATCGTTAGCTGGGGTCGCGCGACTGGGCACGGGCGGCGACACGAGGTTCCTGTTCTGGAAGCAGCAAGAAACATGTGCAAAGGGATTGACGGTCAGAAAGGGATGATGTCACAGGTCAGTGTGGCCAGGGCGGTTCCGCTCTTGCTATTTTCGCATCGTCGGACGGGGTCGCTTCTGGAGTCCGAGTGTCTCGAGTGTTAAAGCATCGCAGCACGTAGGGTTATGCTAACTTTGCACCTTTGATGGTTGAAGCCAGCAGGCTCGCATGCATCATGACTAGTGTCAGATGCCTCTCAACTCGTGTGGTCCGATGGTCTCCGGTGCCTGGCAGGATGATGGAGCGTCGATGATGGGATAATGCTGTCTCGACTTGTGAGACCATTTCCCCGTACCTGACGGTTGCTGGCCTTTCTAGACCCCACGGTTTCGGGCCAAGTGGCCAGGGGAGAGACATATGTCGTAGCAAACGCGTCGTTCCAGTACATCTGGTGCTTGTGAGACGGAAACTTGCCTTCCGTTTGGCATTTGCAGAAAGGAGTTTAAGAGGGTTCCGGAACCTCGATCCCTAATGGCCAATAGACCGCCCCGTTTACTTGTGATTGCTAGACATGTATGATATGGCAGTCATCGGTTGTCTGCTTCAGTTCACCAACGGGCCATCTGAACATGGCATGCTTATTTGCCAGGGCTCGCTTTCCAACGGCGAGGCAAGGACCACCCACCATAGGATTTTAGCCTCTCCAACGTATGGTATGCGGCTTGGATTTGAATGGCACCATCCGTGGATAGAGTCCCCAGCAAAACCAGGTTCTAGAAGTTGGTTCTGCTGGGACTCCCCTACCCCCTTGAGCAGCTGGGATGACGGGTCAATGAGGGAGTGTGATGATGATCCACCGGCACTTGCGGCCACGTCGGAATGTTTCTCGGGTCCGAGCTGGCCATACTCACGGCCTGGCTGGCAGTGACTTCCGCCGTCCTTTTTCAGGAGTGCACGGGAACGAAAGATGGGCATGATCGGAATGGACGAGCGCAATCGCCGCCTGTCTTTTATCATCGGCAGAGTTAAACGCCGGTCACATTCCGTACCTGACGATCTGGCCAGCTCAGGATGGGATCTTGACTCTTTGGGGAGGTGGTCTCAGTCTCACTACAGGGATAATCGTCGCGAGACAATTCCTTCTTCCAGTGCTAGACGAGGGGGGGATAGAAATTAGGTAGCAAGGGACCGAAAGTTTTACTAAGCCGCATCGTCCGACAAGAAAGAAAAAAGGAAGGAAAAAAAAAAAAGGTTGAGACGAAAAGAGATGGAGCTCTCTGTTCAGCCTTCCGGCGGTTATCCGTGACTCCCCCCATATGCGAATTGGTTAGGAGAACCCAGCTTTTCATCGGATGGACCACGATAGCCAATCAGAGGAGGCCTGCTATCGCAGCGCGGTGAGTTGATTGGTGAAAGAGCACGCGTTGTTGTCCTTTCCCGAACCAGCGAAACGCGTCATTCACGCGCCAACTTCATGCTACCTATCTCGTCTTCCTCAAGCTCTCGACCCAATCAATACCGGCAGCACCAGCATCAGCACTGCACGTACAAGGCCATCGTAGGAAGACTTAACGAGGTGATGCCACACACAGATGGAAACCTTGTCGCAGAGCGAGACATTGGCCTCTTTCCCGCCCGCTAGCCAGCCAGCCAAGCCAGCCTTCAGGCAGCGCACACAACAGCTTTCGCTTGACGAAATTTCGCCTCTCAGATAGGAAAGCCCAGCACCGCTACGGCTGCAGATCGGCCGAATGACGGCAGGTGGGCGCTTAGCCGTGCAACCACCACCGTGACCGAGCTAACACCACGCCATGCCCAGAGGAAGCAAGGACTGATTTTATGGTGTCCCTTTTTTCGAGACCTTGGGGCTACTACCAACTGGAGTCGGTTCCGCTCGGCGTTCTTTGACATCCGGTGGTTTCTTGACGGGCTTGAACGAACGGCCGCCACAACGAAGATGAGACAAGAAGGAAATACTGTGTAAGGAATTGCTATCGTGGCTTGAATCATTCGCCTGCATCGTCCACAGATATCCCCCGGCAGAGCCCTGCATGCAACACAATCCATTACCCGCCGGGCTGCATTCACAGTCTCCAGCTGCCACATTCAGCAATCATCCTTTGGGTGTCCTTTAGTAGGGGACCTTGAAGGGGCGTAAGCGGTGGGCTTTGACATTGTGTAATGACTGGAGCAGATGGAACAGACGGCGCACACAATATTTCTGTTTGGAAGGAAATAGGGCAAAAGAGGAGACCGACCTATGAAGCTCGCGCGGCCCACTACGGACTCTCGCATGAACCGCAAAACCTGCTTGCATACCTACAATACGTGCATAGCCAGTAGCGTAGGTAGGTAGGTAAGTAAGTAGGTAGCCTTCCTGACCTGGCCTGTCGCCTGGTATTGCCCATTCACATTTTCGTCCAATTGTCGTCACCTCTTTGGGTCTCCCACACGTGTGGTATATCCTTACCTCTTGGACGTGACCCGCACGCACAATCGAAACCCCCTCTCTCCACTGGCCCCTGCCTGCTGACAGGATTGCTCCTGGGAGAAAGAGCATTGACTCTCTCGAGCTTCTTTTTTCCGACCTCGACCTGAATTAGATGGAGTCGGAAGCCTGTTGGACACCCACTCGCTCCGCCTTGCTCTAGGCCTCAACTGACCAACTGACCGAGCTAGCTGGCCGGCCGTTCCCTTCCACTACGCGGCCCAAGCAGACGCGCAGAGACGAACGCAAATCCTCCGCGCCTGACAGAAACCAACGGCCCAGGGCACCGACCCCAGATACGGGACGGATACCGGTAGTGTGTGTGTGTGTGTGTGTGCTGCGCATCGCGCCTCGTTCATCCGTTCGTTCCCCCTCTCTGATCTCGTTATGGGCACAGTCTCCCGTGCTTGACCGACAATCCAAACGTCATACCCTCAAACTTTTTATTTTATCTTTTTCGTTTGGGACGGCGTGTTCCATCAAACGCTCGATGCTCCCTCGTTCGCTTCCCTTCGACCCCATCTCTCTATCTATTCCGCGTCTGCGTCCGCGCTTCCCATCATCGCGTATCCATCCATTTATCCATCCCCCATCTCACAGACTCGCCCCAGTCATCCATGCATGGTATGCCATTGTACCCCCGGGCAATATCAAGCGCATTCACGCACACCACACACCTTTACACTCCCTGCATCTACGGAGGTCGTCTACGCTGCACACCCCCTGCTGCCACCTTCGGCGTACCCTAGCCTGGTCAGTCGTGTCACAGCCCACGCTCCTCTCGTCCAATCGCCCATTCCTCCCGAGCTCCAGAGGCTCCACCCGGCATCTCTGGGCTTGCTGAGCTGGCCGCCCACCTCTTCAAAGACATCCCGGTCCTCTCCACTCGCCTTGGCTGAAATCAATCCATCTTCTGCCGCCGATTCCCACGCTACCACTATTTTGCTACTTCGCTACTTCCACTACTTTACTTGCTCCTCCTCACTGCCTATTGCCGCTCGCTCGCCTATTACATCTTGTCTACCCTCTCCCTCCCTCGCGTGGTATCGTGCCTGATATCCCCTCTTTTCTTTTCATCCTTCCGCAGCCATAAGCCATATCTCACTCACGCTCACAAACACAACACGCACATACCATCACCCACGCTCGGCATCTGAAGGCATCGCGTCCGTTCAATTCAGTCGATTCACGAAACAAACCCGCCACCGCTCGGCCTATCGCATCACCTCGGCCAAAATCGCAATTCGTCGCTATACTTGGAATTTGACCGCCAAAAAAAGCCCCCTTGCATTCACGACCCACAAGTCATTTCCAGAGTCTAGACCCGACCAAGGTGAGAGCCTTGATTCTCCTCACCTGTTCTCATCCCTTCAGTTAGCTCAAAAGAATCAAGACTACTCCGTCAACTACTTATCTAACCTGTTGCCTTGTGGATCGTTAACATGTCCTCGTGTCTACAGCCCGCTGCTTGCCGCAAACGCCATTAACGCTTGTTGCAAACCATCTTGACTAGCTTCACCGGCCGAAATGGCCAAACCAACACGGCACGCCGGTTCCCATGAACCGTTGCAAATTTACCAAGACGACCTTTTTGAGAACTCGACTGAGATGGTCAACCACGCGCCCATGCCTGCCGCTGCCAAGCCCCCAAGACGACCACTCGGCGCAACAAGCAACAACAACGTCGTTCTCAACCCTCCCATGCTCGCCTCTGACAGACACTCGCCCTTGAAGGCGTTGTCGGGCAACTCAAAATCACCTTTCCTGCCGCTCAAATCGCAAGGTAGTAAACTCAACATGGTGTCAATGGCACCTCCATCAACAAACTCCCAGAGCACCGACTCGCTACACAAGAAGCCCTACCTATCCAAGTTCAAGACCGTCGCACAAAAGCCGCCATCTGTGGATCTCGCCGCCGGCTTCGGGAAGGAAAACGTCCACCCGCAACTGTACCCTGCGCCACCGACGATCAACTTCGACCAGTTCTATATGCACAAGGGCCCGGGCAAGCGCACACTGATGGAAGCTGCCCCGATCAAGGAATCGAGGCCGCTGAAGAAAGTCAAGGCCGACGAGTCAGGCTTGCCCCCGCACGATTCCTTTCCTCCAATTGTCGACGACGGAACGAAACCAGGCCATAGCTACGCGACTTTGATCGGAATGGCCATCCTACGATCGCCACAACGGCGTCTGACCCTCGCCCAGATATATAAGTGGATTTCCGACACCTACTCGTTCTACAAGGCGGAGGAGTCGGGTTGGCAGAACAGCATTCGTCACAACCTTAGCCTTCACAAGGCCTTCATCAAGGTGGAGCGACCCAAGGACGACCCAGGCAAGGGCAACTACTGGACTATTCAGGAAGGTATGGGACAGCAGTTCATGAAGGACAAGCCAGCAAGGAAAGCCGCGACGACCGCCGAGAACGTGCCCGTTATGTCGACCCGCATGGAACCCTCGAGACCAGCCAACGTGCCTATCCAAGAGCCGACCCTTCCGCCTCCTGCACCGATTAGGCATGCAACGCTGCCGCCGTTGCCTACTTCGCAGGCTACGGTCGCTGTCGAATTCTCCTCCGACGCTACCATTCCTGTCTCGGACTCGGCCGCACCCGAAGACGGACAGGACAAGCTGGATCACGAATGCTCACCTCTGCCTCCTACGATGCACTCTTCACCGCCAATCCCGCGACACATGGGGCCCCGCAGTCGTACTCCTCCTCCGCCTGGACGCGGCCCTGCATCTTCGATTACAAGATCGCACAAGAGAAAATTTGCGTCCATGGACGACAGCGGTTACATCTCATCCCTTGAGTCGTCCGCTGTACGCCCGCAAAAGACTGGCATTCTCACGTCTGAAGCTGACCGTCCACGGAAGCGCAGTCGCGCAGGCAGGGCCGAGGACGAGATTGCTCGCTTGCGCGCATCGTCTTACGATAGCCCTAGCAAGGGTCGGTCCTACAACGCATTTGCCCCGCCGTCCTCGTCGCCGCTCCGCCAACAGGGTCAGATGCTGCCACCGCTCACACCCGCCATGAAGCTGAAGCCGCCCACGAAGGCCCCGCCCTCTGCATCTCCCAACACCAACCTGCGCATGCACCGCGAAAATGTCCGCCAGATGCTCCAGTCTCCCATACGCAAGATGGCCGGGACTGGCGATGGCAATGCGCCATGGAGCCCGGCCTTCAACTTGGACGAGAGCGTCTACAACTACAACCTCATGACCACTAATGATTTCGACATCTTCCAAGACATGGATAATGACTTCTTCGACGGCTTACCGCAAGAGTCGCCCTCCAAGAAATCTAGCGGAAAACGGCCTCGTCCTGAGCGCACGCACTCGGCCAATGCCTTGACCGACACGAACGACTCTGGCAATGGCAACAAGTCGGTGCTTTCGACGCCTTTCTTGAAGGCCCCGGCGCAATCCAACGCCATGTGGGAGACCCCCAGCAAGGTTTTCGATGGGCTTTCTTCGCCCATCAAGGCCAACGACGGTGCGTCCCAATGGAGGTTCCCTTCGCCGACCAAGATTTCCAACTCCTTCTACGAGGTGGCGGCGGAGGGTGACTGGCCCTCTTTCTCCTTCGACACAACCGACTTTCTGGCGGAAGAGGCTACCGAATATTCGGGCCTCGACATCCTGCAAGGCTTCGAAAAGATCGGCTCTGGCTCGCAACCCAAGTCTTCGGGTTCCAAGTCTGGCAAGCCCGCATTTGGACGGAGTTACACCTCGCAATTTTAATCTCATTTCGTAATGAGACCTTTGAGTCTCATCGGCGCTGAGACATGACGACCGTTACGATGTATGAACGCACTTCACTGGCATGACTTCTCCGATGCTCAGGCATTCGCGCGATTGTTTCGGGCCATACGATAATGGAGCGGGAACCAAAAAACACTTTGGGCTGATTTGGCTTTAAAGACTAATGTCTGATACGGGCTTTGAGGCTTTCACGATTCTCTTGTCCATGATTGTTTGCTTATGATAATGAACGAAGCAGTGCACATATTATCTGGCTTTTTGGCGGCGAGGAACATCATTTTAGGGGGAAAGCAGGGAGACATTGGGTTCTGCCTTTTTTTCTCTCTCTCCATTTTGCCCCGTCCATTCGGACTCGGGATCACTTTCTCTTGCTATGGGTATGGCAGGAACTTTGCTTTTTCGGTTGGGTTAGAACGGCCCTTTGGTTGTATTGTGTGTAGGACAACACGGGTTCAGTGTGCAGCTGTAGCCGGATACGCTTCTCTGCTGCTTGCTGAAGATGTTGGTAGTGATCATCAATTCTAGTACTGGAACAAGCACTCTGCAGATGTTGGAACCTGTGAGATGATTGAGTTCGCCATCTTGCCCCATAAACCTACCATGGCGGTATCTCTCATGTTCTTTTACTTCAGAGACCGGTATATACTCTATCCAGTTCTCCACGTCAAGTTATTTCTGCACATACATATACGTCAACATGCGTGTCTGTTCGTCAAGTCAGAAACGGGTATCGAATTGAAATGCTCTCTAGATAACAATTGCCCAAGATTGCCTATGCCTTAGTGTAAATATCTCGCTCTGTCCCAAATGTAACGCCAAGTATTTGCCCTTTCCTATATATCCTTGCCGACACGCGTTAGTGTTGAGTATTGTCACAATATAAAATGCATTCATAACCATCTCCCCTTGCAAAGGACCCTGCCGATATCATGAAATCTCGGATCTCAGAGGCCCTGGTCACGTCTCAATTTCCCGTCAGTATATACCCATCCTCGTGGCCCATCCGGACTCCTTTTGGTTAATGTTGATCTGGTAGGGAAAGGGGTTCGACCCCTGCGTCGTTATCGGAGGGATGTGGTCCTTGTGGGCATTGACAAAGGTGATGACTTTCATGACGGTCGTCATCAGGGTCTGTTCCATGGCCTTGCGGACTTTTGCGCGCTCTGCCGTACCGCCAAAGTCTATCAGTTTCTATCTTCCCCCTCTGAGGAAAGTGTGTCCAGAAATGACACGGGAACGTGTAGGGAACACATACCAGTCTCAGTCCGTGGCTCGGCGACGGTGACCTTGACGGTCCAGCACTCCCAGCAGACCTCCTCGTCGCCGCGCATGAGCCAGGCCTTGCGGCGCTTCTTCTCGAAGAACTGGACGTTGAGCTGGCCGCGCCCTCCCCCGCCGCCTCCTGAGCCTGTCGACGTTGATGATGAAGACCGCTCGGCGTCGAGCTGGCGGACTAGAGCGGTAGCGCGCTGCTCGATCATGGTCTCGAGCTCGACGTCGTCGACGTAGGGAAGGGTCAAGTCGAGGACCTCCCGGGTGTAGGGGACGACGGCGGGGAAGAAGCGGTGGAAGAAGATGGTGTGGAGGATTCCTATAAGGTTGGTGTTAGTTTCTAGCTAATTGCAACAGTTGCGTCCGAATGTCGGGGCAGGTGGAAGGATATTGAAAGCGGGCAGAGTGGTGTTTAGGGTGCCGAAGGTTGCTCGTTGGTGAGCGATATGACGTTCTAGCAGGGCTGTCGCTGCGGGCTGCAGGAAGGGAGAAGTGACATGTGAGAAAAGGGTCTACCTTTGACCACGTCTCGGACGGACGCCGGGTCAGCGAATGCGTCCAGGATAAATTCGGGAGGGGTCTGCTGCTGCATCGTGTCTGGTGAGCGGCGTTATGCGTTGTATGTGGTTTTTGTAACGGTAGTGGTCGTTGGACAATGCGGCTGGTGTGAGGCGTAGGTATGATGGCCGCAACCCAAGTAAGCAGTGACGACCGGCCTCTCTGATAGTGATAAGGGAGTGAGTGTCGTTGAGGGGCAAAGCTCAGCCCAGCGCAGATGCGCCGCACCGATAAGGGGGGTGGGCGGAGAAGGGAGGGGAGGGGGGCATGGCCCAGGAAGGAGAGGAGGGGGATTAGAGGCAGGGGATAGATGGGAGGGGGGGGTTCACCCGAGCTGGGTCCCGAGGAGAAGAGCGTCTGCCTGTGATGCCGTGTAGGAGTAGCGGTGGGCAGTGAGTGGGCGGTCGTCGGTACGTTGTTGAAGGTACCTTAGATGACATTGTTACTTTGAGGGGCGGTTCAGCCACAGCTGTTAGGGGAATCCAATTGGACGATGATCATGAATCAAATGGCATGACGCGGGACGCAAGTGTGGCTGGGCCGAGGTAATCACGGTTCACAACTCACAAAGCAGCAGCAAGGACCAGCAGCTCTCAATTGCCCCCAAAAGTCACTACCTGCCGACAAGTCTCCCCGGTGCTCACCCAGAACAGCCAATCTCGGGTGCATTGGGAGAATAGAGAAATCTCAGTTCTCTTCAATCCAAATTCTCGACCTCTTATTATTCGAAACATTGTTTTACTAAGTCAATCAAATTATCATCGACTCATCAGCCTTCATCTCTTCTGCTCCCTGGTTACCGTTCAATTTCGTTTTACAGTCTCTTAGTACCCACTACCAACCCCAACTCGGGCGACGCCTCAAATATTCTGTCGCCACGTCGCATATCAGATTACCATGTTGGAAGCGACTCGGCAATGGTTCCGCCGGAATAGGACGCCTCTCGCCATCGGCGTCGGGGTCGTCGGCGCCGGCTATGTCGTGACGCAGTATGTTCTGGGCAAGGTTAACGATGCGCGGGAGCGCATGGGCAGCGACCGCATCGCAAAGGAGAAGTGAGCCTCTTTTTCCCTTCCATCCATCCTGACTTCCATTTGGTTCTCTATGAAAACCCATTGGGCTAACAATAAACCGCGATGGGAGCAGCCTCCGCCGTCGATTCGAGCAGAACCAGGAAGACTGCACCTTCACCGTCCTCGCCCTCCTCCCCTCAGCGACGACCAACATCCTAGAGGCCATGAATACGGAGAATATCACGTATGAAATACAGAAGATGAAGGGACAAACAAAGAGTCTCAAGGCCGGCGAGAACGTCGCCCCCCCGAGCATTGCTGATACTACCATGACCGAGGACGACGGCAGGAGCATGGTCAGTAGCAGCGTACAGAGCGAGAGTGGCGTGCATGCGAGCATAGTGACAGTGCCCAACGCGATGTCAGCCGCGCCCGCGGAAAGAGCCGAGGGTAGTGCGGCGCAGGATGGTGGCGCTGCGGCTGCGGCGGCGGCACAGAAGAACAAGAAGTCCAAGAGGCAATTATGGAACGATTTAACGATAAGCTGTGAGTAAAAGGCAATGCACCCGACACGTATAACGGAGGTGCTGACCACGAGCGTAGCCATTACGAGAGCGTTCACACTGCTGTATACCCTCGCATTGCTGACAATGCTCACGAGGGTTCAACTCAACCTCCTCGGCCGCCGCAGCTACCTGTCGAGCGTGATATCACTGGCTACCGGCACCGCGCAGGCCACTATCAGCCTCGAAAACAATGACGACGATGGCCTCAACCAGCCCTACGGCAACGACTTCGAGACAAACCGCCGGTACTTGACCTTCAGCTGGTGGCTCCTCAACGAAGGGTGGAAGGAGCTCGGCCAGCGCGTCGAGGCCGCCGTCCGCCAAGTCTTTGGCCAACTCAGCCCGCGCGATCTGCTCAGCTTCGAGCAGTTCTCGGAGCTAACGCTCGCGGTGCGCAAGATTGTCGAGGGCGCCACCCCCGAGGAGCGCAGGGCGGCGAAGTGGCTGCCCTACCTCCTCCCACCACGTGACCGCGAGGACTATGTCCTGCGTGAGTCGGGCATCCTCGAGGAGAGCATTGTGGTCCTGTCTGAAAGTGCTACGTCGCAGTCGCCGTCGTCGTCACCCGCCGTGAGGAGGCTCCTCGATGAGACATCTGATCTCATCGAGTCCCCTTCCTTCACGCACGTGCTCACCCTCATCCTGGACGCAGGCTTCTCCCTGCTCGTGGACAAGAAGCTCGCATCGGGAGCATTCGGCAAGCCCGACCTGGCGCAGTCCGAGCCGCGCACGTCGCAGGTTGTTTTGCTACCCAAGATCCTCTCAGTGCTCACGCGGCAGGCGCACGTCATTGGGAACGGCATGCCCAATGAGTACCTCCAGGAGATGGAGCAGGTGCGCGACCTCGAGGGGTTCGCAGCCGTGGTGTACTCTAGCAACTGGGAGAACGAGATCCACGACGATGAGGGCGGCATCATGGCCAGCGCCGTCGACGTGAGGGCCAGCCAGGGTACCACGACCGCCATCAATATACCCAGCCAGACACAAGGGACAACGCAGGGAACTGGGGAGGAGAGCGTAGTCATGGTCAATCCGGCTACAAGCTTCGAGAGTGCATGGGACCGGGCCGTTGACACGAAATAGGGATAAGCTCAAGCTTTTCAGGAATATAGCTCCCGCTTCGAATATGATTTTGATGCATGGGTTGAGCACACGACCAAGTTTTAATGAGTATCATGGATACGATGGCGCGGATGGATGGGCGAAGCTGGGTACGGGAATTATGAGGTATCATTTGTATAATCTATGGCAAGAGATAGATGGTTCATCTCGAATCTGTACCATTACCAACGGGGTATGGTCTAGAACAAGAAGCGGCAGCTCCGCTCTTTTCTTTCAGTCTATCCCGTCTGACGGCTTCGGCCTGAGAGTTGTACCCCTATTGTAACGAGGCTCCCATCGACCTTGGTTTTCGGCTCTATTTTCGGCCCACGCGCCCCCTGAGCTTGGACCTGAGCTCGATATCTATGCCCTCTGCGGCTTCCGCCCTTCGCACACAAGCTTGTCGCCAGGGCGGATTGAACAATAGCCCATCAGGATACCCGGCTGGCTTGAGGTCCACTCATGGGACCACGTGTCGCCTTTCGTTGTGTTGTTTGCTTTTGCTACTCCATGGCGATGGGTCTCCGTCACATCAGGCCCCTCACGAACTGGTCTAGACCCAGCTCGAACAGCTCGTTCTTCACGCCCTCGCCGCCCTTATGCTCGGCCGGCGCCAAGGGGTTCTTGACAACTGCAGAAGATACAGTTAGTAAATGCCCCCCGATCGGGCCGTTTTTGATACCGGGCCCCTTTCTTTCCCTTGGATGAATGGAGACCTACCATATTCGACCCAGAGGTTAATATAGATCTGATGCAGCACGTTGCGCATGCTCAGGGTGGCCGTGTCGGTGAGCATGACGAAGCGCAGGTTCGAGGGTGTCTCGTAGTAGTGCAACTTGTAGGCCGAGGTGCGGTAGCTGATGAAGGCGTCGTCGTCGCCGCCGAGCTTGCGGACCATGTTGCGCAGCGAGAAGACGGTACCGAAGATGAGCTTGGCGTCGTCCTTTGCCGAGTTGACCTGGCTCCGGCGCAGCTGCTGCGACGGCGGGCCGCCAGAGCTAGGCGTCGTGCCCGTGACAGGGAGGGGCGTTTGGGATGCCGGTCGCTCGGCAGGGAGCCACGTTTTTGTGTAGATGCATTCCGTGTGCCGGTCGAAGATGTAGAAGGAGTAGACGACCATCGTGGGCGGGATGGGGCGGCGACGCGGTGCGCCTAGCTGGGGTTGGATGACCGTGTGAAGAGAGGGGAGGCCGAGGGGATTAAGGGCGCATGCCGTTTGGAGGGGGGGATGGTCGTATGCGATGTATGTCGAGGGATATGTCGTCGACTTGGGTCGTCGGGGCTGTCGTCAATGTGTCTGCTTGTTGTTGGAGCTGCTGGGTATCACGGGTCTGGGGAAATGCACAGTCGCAAGGAGTCTCGGCAGGTAGCTCGGGGCAGCCGAATAAGTGGTGGACGTCGTCGTTGAGTGGCCCCAGCCCGAAAAGCGGCTACCGTTGCGTTTGGCTTTTGGAGGTGCGACTGCGACCCTGGAGCTGTAGCTGGTCCGGTTGCGTACAGGGGGCCTATGGCGGGGCCCTGTTCTTCTAGGTTGGCTGCCTTACGGTGGAGCTCTCTTGGATTCACTCACCACCACCCCGAACGGAACGTAATCCTTCGGCGCGCAGAGGAGGGGGGGTGGGTTTGCGCTGGCCCTACGGGAATGGATAGTTAGTCCAAAGACGGTGATGCAGTGAGTGGAGGGACCTGCGAGCTACAATGCGCCCAATGATAAAGGCTGGAGACGCTGGGATTTGAGAAATGTACGCGGTCAGGCATGGGCAAGATGGATACCTAACACGGAACCTCAGGGCGCTGAAACTGGGGACTTGATCCTGGGAAAACCTGACGTCGGGGCTGGGCGGGTGGTGACACCAACGCAGCTGGAAGCAAGAAACGCTTATTTTATCTTTATTTTTCTGTCGCACATGTCCATCTCTCCCTCCTCTAGGTCTTAAAGCTAGCTCTTGCTTTGCTTAATTACCTACACTCAAACGTCGTTGAACCTCTCTCTCGGTTTCTCGCGCTTCGAATCCATCAATCCACTTTTGGCAGAGGTAGCTTCGATAGTTCCCACCCCCACCTCTCCGCGTCACGTCGAGCTTGATTTTCCTTCTCCTCCATCTACACCTGCGCAGGCAACGATGACGGACTCCGGCGAACCTCTGAGCCCGCCGACGACGGCCATGGCCTTGACGTTCATCGCGGCCCCCGACATGCCATCACCTACCATTGCCGTAGGGTTCCACGGCGAAGGATCTGCCGGGACTCGTCCGCCGCTCGCTGCCCACATGTACGTCTGTCGTTCAGGTTACTCTCTATGCCATGCGCTGCAACTTGCACTGCCTCCACCGCACTCCACCACCACGCAGCCAAAAGATCTAACATTCCGTCGCAAACTCGGTGCAGATCCGACTCGACGGCCCAGCAAACAAAGTTTCAAAGCCCTTTGCGGCACCATCGACGAACGCCCTCGGCCCATCGTGAAGTCAAGGTGCGTCTGCCACGAACTTGTCCCGCCAACCTCGCCGCGCTGTGTCATTCGTAGCGGGGGGCGGGGTAGTTACGATGACATGCGCCGGGCATGCAAGAACTCACCAATGTCAGGAAACGCTCAATGCCGTGACGCAATACGGTGCCGGGGATCACGATGGCTCGAGCCACCACCGAATTAACCAGTACGTTATCAAAGAGGAAATAGGTCGAGGGTCCTATGGCGCCGTTCACCTCGCGACTGACCAGTTTGGCAATGAATACGTATGAGCTTCTGGTCACAACCAAGATTCCCACTCACCTCTTGTAGGCCGTCAAGGAGTTCTCCAAGGCCCGTCTGCGGAAACGCGCCCAATCCAACATCCTTCGACAGGGCGCTCGTAGGCCACAGCGCTTCGCCCACCGTGTAAGCCTCAACGCGCCGCTCTCGCCGCACTTTGGCGACTTTGGCCAGGAGCGCAAGGCTGGTTGGAACGACAATGACGCCCTCTTCTTCATCAGGGAGGAGATCGCTATCATGAAGAAGCTGAACCACCAAAACTTGGTTCAGTTGATCGAGGTGCTCGACGACCCAGAAGAGGATTCCTTGTACATGGTTCTCGAGATGTGCAAGAAAGGGGTCGTCATGAAAGTCGGTCTCACCGAGAAAGCAGAGCCATATGGCGAAGATCTATGCCGTTACTGGTTTCGGGACTTGATCCTAGGCATCGAGTACCGTGAGTTGTCCCCTGGTGCGTCCTCGGCCGAGCTGACACCACCCCAGTACACGAGCAAGGCATCATCCACCGCGATATCAAACCGGACAATCTTCTCCTCACAGAAGATGATGTTCTGAAAATCGTAGACTTTGGTGTCTCGGAGATGTTCGAGAAACCTGGAGAGGGTATGAAGACGGCCAAGTCTGCCGGATCCCCCGCCTTTCTGGCCCCGGAGCTCTGCATACTCAGGCATGGTGATGTCGATGGCAGGGCCGCTGATATCTGGTCTATGGGCGTGTCCCTGTACTGCTTGCGCTATGGCAAGCTCCCTTTCGAACAGGACGGCGTGCTCGAGATGTACGAAGCCATAAAGACAGAATCCCCTGTCCTTCCAGAGGACGAAAACCCCGACTTCGTAGACCTAATGAACAGCATTCTAGAGAAGGATCCCCAGAAGCGAATTCGGATGTCTGAGTTGCGGGTGGGTGCAAACGCTGCTCTATACTTTCGATGTTTCTGACGGTTCATAGGAACACCCATGGGTGACAAAAAAGGGGACTGACCCCTTGCTGTCCAAGGAAGACAACTGCTCTGTCATTGTGGAGCTCCCAAACGAGCTTGAATTAAGCCGCGCCTTTACGCGAAAAATGAACCATCTCCTTTGTGTTGTACGTAAGCTTCTAGAAGTCGAGATGGGAGAGGACTGACCACAATTTCAGATGAAAGCAATTCACAAATTCAAGGGAATTCTCTCCAGACAAAGGCAGAATTCGAAATCGTCAAGGGACGGGTACTCTACCCCTTCTATCCCGTCGGTTGATCCTGTTCGAGAAGACGCGCAGAAGCAGGACATTGAGGCCCTGATTGCCAAGCGCCGCGCATACTTGACGCAGAAAGGGATCCCCCTCGCCGACGACAGGCCGGAATCGGAGCCGCTTATTCTCGGTATCGGCGTCGGTCTGCGGGATGAATTCAACAAGGACGAGCCCTCCGCCGGTGACATAGCCGAGTCGCCGACTAATGCTGACTTCAACATCTACGACAAGGCCTACGAGGCCGAGGTGGAGCGCATAATGAAGAAGCCGACGCGTCATCCAACCATGTACTTGACGCGCTTCGTCAAGGACCGGGAGCATTACAAGGAGGTGGCCGACGTCGTGGAGGGGACCTCCCAAGGCGTTACGCCAGCGGGCACGCCAAGGGCTGACAGCCACTTGACCGCGTCGAAAGGACGGTTCGCAGACTTGGTTTCCAGCATGACGGGCGCTTCAAAGTCGGCGGATGGCGAGGATGAGAGGTCCTGAGGCTGCAGTTATATATGTGTCTGGAGCACATTGCCTGGCGTTAGACGGAAGGCGTCGGAATTTGTTGCCCGGTATTTACTTTTACTTATTGATATGATGCCTGCTTGTGTCCAAGACCTAAAGAAATCAATCAGGCCCTCGGAACGAGGACTAGGAGCTCTACTATCATAACATAATTCGTGCGAGGCGGGGTGACATTGAATGATGGAGTTATGTTGACTGAACATCAATGGAGCTGGGTGGCTAAAGGTGTTGTAAGTAAGCCTACACAATGCACTCTGCAAGATAACAAGAATCTATCTCGGTATCAAGTCGACGGAGGTTATGTCTTGAAGATGGCGGGAGGACTGTCGTTTGCTCTTTACAACAACGCTGATGGCGTCATCTTTCCAGGTTACGGGTTACATTTTTCATACCCAAATGCATGTGCTGATTGTGAGAACAGCTGATGAGACGGTTGCCCTTTTTAGGGCAGCCGCCTGCCGCCTACATTTTCTTGCGGGCGCAATTCAATCTCGTTCTGCATCGGCACCCCCTCAAGGTCGCCATCCAGCTTAAGAAGCAAGATGTTAATCACCTCGACTACGACCCCAAGTAGTACAAAGATGGCCAGGATCTGTCCAAAAGTCCATTCCTTCTCCTCCTTCGACAGATTGTTACGTTTGACAATCTGTTCCAGTGTGACAATCATGTAGACATTGATGCCCGTCTGGATGAAGAGCTGCACCACCTGCCCAGAGATGAGGTTCTGCTTGAACCAAGCTTGGGTCAGAGACCTTGATCCGGCCGACGACTTTCTTCAAGACCTCGACATCCGGGTTCACCTGCTTCGCCCACTTCATGCCCGACCTCGCGCCCCCGCAGCAGCAGTGGGCGAGGACGACGTACATTACCATACTAAGAACCCAGCCGAAAGCCATAGACGCCATCAGCGCCAAGATGACGTAACGGAAGATGTCGTTGGTGGCTCGGATGCTGACGCCAAAGACGACGTAGACGGTCGACGCGTTGCAGTCCGGCTGGTTCCCGAACGTCGGCGCGGTTGCCCAGATGTACGCGGTGAGCGTGGTGAAGGCACAGGCGATGATGACCCGGAGCGCCGCCATCACAAGCCACCGGTTGAGGCCGCCGCCTTGGTACCGGCGCTGAGCCACGAGACCGAAGCCGAGCAGCGAGAGGAGGTGCAGCACGCAGATGGCGTGGAACAGCGTCAACTGCCCTTTTAAAGTCTGGTACACGGCGGTACAGAGCAAGGCAAGGCCTTGGAGCTGCAGAGCCGAGTTGATGGCTTGGCAAAACTCGGTATAGTTCTTCTCGGAAGTGGTCAGCTGGATGATGGTCTTGAGGATGCCGGAAGCCAAGCAGAGGGTATAGATTGAAGCGCGGATCTATGGATACGGTAAGCACGAAGGAGAAGAACGGGGTGCGCTGGTCTGACGAACTCCCGTCCCAGTAGCATCTAGATTTGCTTCGATCACGCAGGCTCCTGGCATTTGCGCGCCTTCGGCCATCGTAGCGGCATCAAGGGTTTGGATATAGGGCAGGTATAACTCTGTAGTATTGAGAGCAACTCGTCAACCGGCTTCTTCATCCGTCTAGGCCAACACGGGTCTTATTAGAAATTCAACAAAAACAGAAACCCAAGGCCAAGGCAGACTTCCAACGGGCCTCTTGTGGCCCCCATGGCCCCCATTGGGCGTATTCACGTCAAGGAAGCAAGACATTTGTGCCGCATATGGCAGCAAACCAAGGTAAGGGACATGTCGTCCATGGTGCCCAGGCCGCCGGTTAACCATGTGTTTCCCAGGCATGCCCATCAGCAACTATCACACGGCCTGCTCCGCCGGTGCCGTCTACGGCACCCTCACCTTCCTGTCGCGCGCCATGACCGGCTGCGTGGCCCTATTCCGTTTGCATACCACCGACGGCAAGGTCTCGGACATATTCGGCGTCTGGGAAGCCGTCCTCCCGGACGAGATTATCGTCACCGAGGAGGGATATCTGCAGATGCAGCGAGGTCTGGCGTCAACACTCACGCAATGCTTCCGCACGGGGCCCCTCATGCTGAGTTCGCTGTTCAACTGCTGTTGTTGCTTTTTCAACACCAGAGGCCGCAAGATGATCAATGAAATGCGTGTGGACATCTTTGGTGATGACAACATGGTAGAGCAAACACAGGATGGCGGGAACGTGATGGCGCGGGGCAAACCCGCAGCATGGAGCAGATTCGCTATTGAGATAGAATTTGAGGCCCGTAGTTTATCGTTTGCTACTAATAGGCTGCCAGTTTGGGTAAACACCTCATCACCAAGGTCCAGCAGTGCTGTTGGAACAGTGTGCACCCTGAATTTCCTTCGCCTTTACTCCTCATCTTGTACTCGGGCTCTACTCGTCTCCTCCACGAGCCACATCAGGAGTAGAGGGGGGATCGCTGGAGTAGGTCATTGATCAAGCAGTGCAGTGTAAATATTGGTGGCTGGCAACTACCGTCCAGTCCATGTGCGTTGGTTGTGGGCATGCTTCTGGATAGACGAGCACAAGAGAAGATGGGTTTGCTATTCTACACTGCTGAATATGCAAATACTACGCACCGTTCATCATCACCAAGTGTACAGACGGGTAGCCTAGAGACCCGGCCGCTCGCTCGTCTTAGAACTTCTTGCGCTCGCGCTTTCAATGTCGCATATAACTTTACCCGGTCTCTCTCTGCATCTTCCATCACACGCTCTCAGCGCTATGATTCCCGTATTGTGTTGACATTTCTCATACTGCCTCTGAACGAACAGGATGGTATGCTCGAGTATTTTTCCGTCCTAGGTTGATGCGCACCGCTTCACGGTGGAAAGAGGGGGATGAGTAGCCCGGGCACAACCAGGAAGCACGTCGATACCCGGGGCCTTCTCCATTCCTTGCTTGCAGGGAACCAATCCTGCCCTGTCCTTGGTCCTAGTTACATCTTTATTGTACCAAATCCCTATCACGGACCCTGGCTTCTTGATACACCCAATATAGAAATGAAACCCGCGGAATTTTATACCGACCCAAAAAGCAATCCCTACAAAGCCGTGCACGAAAACCTTCAACCATTGGTTCTTGGCGCTCTTTTCGTAGCTTAAGGGGTGCAATTCAAGAACATATCCACGAAGGACCGGCGTACCTGCAGACATGTGACCCCATGACGCACCGCTTGACGTCGAAACAAGGCGGGGGGGAGTCGGCCACCTCTTTCCGGTTGCCTGGCGCGCTATCCGCGGGCTTGTGGTTCCCACGTGCCTCGTGATGGGGAACCAACACCGACGTTGTTCCTTCTAGATCGGCGGCATCTGCTTTCTTGCCGTGACGCAACCTCTCATCAACACTACAAGAACACTCTTGGGAACTGCAGCTGGCCAACCCACCTCGCCAAGAAACGCCTACAGACTTCCTTCTATTGGCCATTCTACATCCTGGTTTCCTAAGAGTCAAGTTCTGTGATGTCTTCTCTGTCTATACATAACACTAGAGTTCCCGGGCAGGAACGGAAGGGCTCTGCAGATTCCCTCGCTTTCGTTCACTAACGCCGTCGCACTCGCCATGCACCCGAGGGATATATGGTACCTACATAATGGAGAATAACGCCTGCCCCCCCCCCTTCCGGTGAGAAACAACACATCTGTGCCAACAAGCACCGGACCAACAGTCTCTTCTCTATTTCTTGTATATCGACTATGTACCTCCAAAGTACTGATTTGTGGCTACGCCATGTAAGTCTATTGTGGGACATTGGCATGGGTATGACATGCCGAGGGGAAAATGGAGAGTGAGGCTGGATATTTGGCACTTAGAGAATGAGGTTCAAATGTACACATAGAAGTCAGCTTATAGCCAGGCACCTTAACACATGGATTTCTGTGTGAAACATACTCTGGAGTTTCAAATATGCTTTGACAATACCGGGCTCATGATACGTTACAAAAGTTATGCCTGCAATTCTGTGCGCATCATAAACAAGCTCCCGCTTCAATACACAAGCACATGTCCATAAACAAACCAACCTAGGCCAGACGTGGAATCAGGCATCGTTCGTTGTGGACATTTGGGAACGACAAAGGACAAAAGTTGGGGGGGCTGATATTGAACACATCCCGTCCCGTCCCGTCCCCTTGCCATGTGGAAAGTCCGACTCCTTCAAAACGAGGCTATACTGCTGACATGTGTTTCGGGATCGGACAGACAGAGATACTACCTAGGTTGACAGTAGAAAAGAAAATACCGGAACGCGAATATAGAAGACCAGCGCCTCCAAGGGACCCATAACCGAGTCGTCGAATACTTGCACGGCTCAAATATACAAGTCTGACTTCCTATCCAGCATCATGATACCATAGCGGCACACTGTATGGAAGGCTGGCTTAGAAGACCCAAGGCTCTCGGGGACGAGAGCCTTAGCTGTGGCAAGAACCCGCCCCAGCGCTCGATACACCCTTCAACCAACCAGCCTTATGAAAGCCAACCGAAAGTGCAACGACAACAGCAAGAACGACAACGATAAGAACAGGCCATCCCGTGTCTCAACCCCATCGCTCGACCTACATCTCTTTTCTCAGACTACAGGTCTCACCTCAGCCCCGCCAAGTCGCACACCATCTGACGGGAATCCCGAGCCCATCATCATCCATCCTCCATCGTCCACCGTCTGACGCACTTACACCGCAAATCCTCGCCTCTCCTTATCTGTCGATAGCCAGGCCCGCCGCCGTGTTCACCCGAAGCGAAGTGCGACTGATTTCTGAGAAACGACCTGTTTCCTAGGCCTCGAGGAAGACAACGCCACCAGGCGACACGAAACAATGCTAAGCTTTAGCCGAGACGGCTGACGAGACAAGAACGCTCATCCGCCCTCCGCCCTTTCGTGCATGTCCCATGAGATCTGACAGGGTGCAGGCTAGTGTCGGGTTACCTTGGCACGGTCGGCGATGTTGTCGAGGAGCAAGCAAAGGCCCTCGAAGTTCAGGTCCCAACCCGCGGGCAGGCATGTAACCACGTGCCGACATTGTAGGCCTCTGAACGCACACCGAGGATCAAACGAGGTTCACCATTCACCCTGGCCGTTAAGCAGCGATTCAGTAGTTTAAAAGATCGCCGTAGGAGATCACTCCATGAGGCTACACCGCTTTGCTGGGCAGCCAGCCCATCAACCGCCTTCTCCGCCCCCCCCCCGGACGGCAGCGGTTTGCAAAGGGTAGTACCAAACCGGCCAATGCTCCTCCTTGGTTCACACGAGATAAGAACAGATATAAAAGTGTGGAAAGATACGGAGCTGTACATGATCGCAGTAGGGCTGACAAGTGAGCTCCCATGAACACTTCAGGTACCCGTGTTGTGCTGCGGGCACTATGAAGGAGGGTGGGGTGGGCGTGTCAGCTCAGATATGCATCGTGAAGTTGCACCAGAGGTCGCGGCATGCCGCGTGTGGGGAGACGCGTTCGAGCCAATCTGCCAGACGGTTCGGCTGGCGTTTTCGCGGGCTCGTGCAGCCGGAAAGGGTATGTACACGCTGGCAAGACACAGCACGCCAGACTGCTGGGAAGCTGACGGGCCACTGAGCTGCGAGCTTGTTTACACGAGGTCGCCGAGGCAGGTGAAGACAGGTGAGTGCTGAACATCACCGCCAAGCCGTTGACCCGGGGGTGCTGCCCGAGAGCAGCAGGAGAGAAGCGGTGGTGACCGTTCCAGGCGGCCGCAGGCAGTCTCGACATTCGGGCCATTTCATCCGTACAATCAAGCACATCATCAGCTGTAGGGACGCAGTCATATCACCACTTACGGCAATGGGACGTTCAGAGAGACGGTGAGGGGGAGCCGCCCTGCTATTGAGGTTGAATCAGAGCTGCAAAGCCAAGCCAAGCCAAGCCAGCCCAGGACCAGGTGAGGGAGAGAAGAGGCAGGGGCCCGCAATTAAGAGGCCGCCAGCTGCAAGCCGTCCTACGCTTATTGCTCGTCCTGCAGACTTGTGCAGATACGTAGCATCGTCGATACCCCGACCCAACCTCACATGCAGGGCCAACAACAGCCAGGCGGAGGAAGCTCTGGCCTCCCCTCAGACCCGGTGGACAGCTCGCAGCTAGCATACTATGTATGTAGCTGTTGGAGCTGAGTGGGGGGGAGAGAAGGATCCTCGATGCCCTCGCTCGTGCTAGTCGAAAGGTGATATGTCTTGGGACAGATGAAGCTCGGAGGGGGTTGTCGAATCAACTCGCGCGTACTGCCTGACTAATGGCCAAACACGGGAGTTCCGTCAGGCCGTTGAGAGGAGGCACAGGCCGAAACGGGCGCTGCGGCATAGTATTGGGAAGGTCTGTCGTGTCGACAAGTCGAAATGAGTTACGGCAGGGCATGAGGGGTTGAGAGACATGGATGGGAAATGCCTCATAGAAAGCAACGCGGATGCAGGAGTGGGGAGAGGCGGCGGTCATGTCTGTACGAGTTGCTTGCCCTCGCCGCGTCTCTGTCTGCAACTGAAACCACCATGAGATGGCTCAAGGTGAGGGGTCAAAGTACCGCCTTAGCGAGATCAAGATGGTTTATGGGCGGGAAATTGATGTAACCGTACCGGCAGTCCGGTACGGTTGGTGGCAGATTTGTCATGTGTTGACATGTCTTCTGGACTGCTCGTTTCTGCCGCACGCCCGCCAAGGAATGAACGAGTGCGGCACCACTGGATCATGCAACGGGCAAAGACAGGCGCATGTACAACAACATCTGGCTAGCTAGACTTAGCAAATTGACTTTGCCGAGCAGTATAAGGGGGCTCCAAAGCTACTTCCGTGCCGAATGCTCCGGAAAGGCTTAGCCTCTCAAGCCTCTCAAGACCAAGGCTCCTCCTTTGTCTGCGGGTTGATTAGAACGGGGCTGACGGTGTTGCAGTCCAGCCTCCTGCCTTCTTGTTATTATGTAAGTGGCTAGACTGGACGTGCTTGATATGGGGCAGCGCTGCCCGAGTGTGTTTTTGTCAAAACGGGTTGTCGTAAATCGAGTTGAGTGCATATACGGATACCTGGGGGGACAAATCATGGGCAGTAGCAGTGGCACTCACATCCGCTGCAAGCTGCCGAGGTACAAATGAGTTGCGGGAGCCGGCTACCAGACAGCGGGGCCGAAGGGCAGCCAGTGCCAATGGTGGGAAACGAAGGACTAGGTATGAGCTCATTGCCCAAGATGACGGATGAGAAGAGCGCGAGTAGATGCCGGTAAAAAGAAAAAAAAAGTTACGCAAGTGCATGAAGGTCCCATGGTTGCGTGGTCGCGCAGTCGAGACAGACCCGATCCCCATAGAGAGAAAGTCACACGACCCGAGATGAGGTGAAGACACGAGCAAGGAGGTGGACGGATGGTTGGGATGGAGCGGGGGGGACCAGGGGATAGAGGATCAGAGGACTAC